AAATACAATTAAAGCTAGTAATATTTCTCTAGAAGTGTTGCAAACGAGAAGCTGCAAATGACACTATATATAGAGTTAAGTGTGCATAGTATGTATACCCTATGAGTTGATTTTGGTCGTTGATTTTGTTGTCACCTAGGGAGTGTGTGTTAGGGCGTGGTACAAAAGAATCCTATCATGAACAATAGTGGCCTTTATGTTGTGACTTGGACCGTAGGATGAGGTGGAGTTGATCTTGATCATTGATGTATGAAGATTTGATCTTGACTGTTGCTTTTTATTGTTACCTAAGACAATGTGTGTCAGGGCATAATATAAAGAAATCTTAACATGATTAGTGCCTTTGTGTTGTGACTTGGACCTAGGATGAGGGAGACAAATCACATTAATGATTAATGTTGAAATTGCATCAAAGGTCTAACAAGATGCTTATACAAAATCAAACACTCATACGATGTTTGAATTCGATAAAAGCAGCACAAGATTCTTTGTGGAGGAGAACAGAGAAGTTCGACCTACTAATAATTTTGTTGTTAGACTAGATGAAACTTGATGTGATTGTGGAAAGTTCCAAAAACTTCATCTATCATGTTCCCATGTGATTGCAACATGCAAACATGTTAATCATGATTACAAGATGTACATCAATCTTGTTTTGTAATCAATAAAGTGTATAACAATTTGTTTGGGAAACTTAGACACAAAAATTATTGACCATCACATCAAGACCCACAACTTTGCCCCAATCCAACAATAAGAAGAAGTTTCAAGGGTTGTTTGAAGTCAACACGACTTAGGACTAAAATTGATATCACTGCTCCTATTGTCACACAAGAAGTTATTGTCCGCATAACCCTAGCCTTAGGGGATCAACTTCTTATAGATAAATTTGTTGAAGTTTTGTAATATGCCATTACAATCTTAAATAACTATTCTAGTCATTTGTAGTTTTCTAACTTATTCATGTCATTTATTTAATATATAAAATAATAATTCACTTTAATTCAAATAGTATATCTATACAAAATATCCAATTCAAATTTCTATTTATACAGAATTTTAACAAAATATTTATACCAAATCTATTTTATATTATATCAAAATTAAATAAAATTATTTTTAGTGTGAATATTATATTTATTTACTAAACAATTTTTTATTAAATAAATACTTAAATATTATATAAAAAATATTATCATATATATATATATATAAGAAAATATAAATATGTATTTATTAAATATATATATATATATATATATATATTATAAAAATATATTAAACATAAAATTATATAATATATTTTTATTATATATAAAGATATATATATATATATATATTTATATTTATTATATAAAATATAAACAAATGTTTTACATATATAAATATGTATATTTATATATTTATTTAATATATATATATATATATATTTAATAACTGTAATTATATTTACTACAAATATTTATATATTTCTATGGAAAAAATAGAAAATTATAAGTTGTATTTCCTAAAAATATTTTATATTAAATAAATACTTCAAGTGTTATATATATATATATATATATATATATATATAAATATATATATAAAATTTAATAAAGTTATTATGTATATAAGAAAATATAAATATGTATTTTTCATATTTATAAAAAAATATATAAACATGTTAAAATATAATAAAAATATTTATATATTTCTATAAAAGAAATATTATTTGTAATTACTAAATTTATTTTATATTAAAAATATACTTAAATAATATATAATTTATTTATTTATTATGCACATAGAAAGATATAAATATATAAATATACATGTATTTATAATATTTATAAAAATATAAATAAATATTTAAATATTATACATATATATATTAAATATATTTGTATTTATTATATTTATAAAAATATAATAATAATAATAATAATATAATTATATAAATATATTTTTATGAATATAAATAATATATTTATATTTATTTGATATAATTATATAACAAATATTTAAAATATATAAATATATATATATATATATTATATTTAATTAATATTTTTTATTTTTAAAAAAACTATTAAAAATACATGTTAGAATTCGGTTGGATTGGAGGAGACCCAATTCTGACTTTTTAATAAAAAAATGTGCTATTTTTGTAAAAAAAATTCACAATATACTATATTTGTATATTTATATCCAAATAATGATATGTGAGAAAAAAAAATCAATTATAAGTGATATTTGTGTTTTTTTATAAGACTCAAATTATGTCTGTTGTATTTACTATTTTTAGATTAAAATATCCCAATTAAAAAAAGTTTTTATTCACAAAAAAGCTATAATAGATAAAATGATAAGTTTAGAGAAAGAAAATATATATAAATCTAAAGGATAATATCATTCCTATGAAAGTAGATTATAAACTGAAAAAAGCTTTTGAATAATTTGTATAATACCCAAAAAATTTGAATAATACAAATATTAGTTTGAAATGCAAAAGCTTTTGGGTAAAAACTGAAAACAAGTGTCTTCAAAGTGTGGCTACGTGGAGCATGGACTGTATTCTTCTCCGACAAAGCTTTCAATTCATCAAACACAAGCCATACTATTTTGACCCACACATCATGCAAAAAGTTGCATACCAACTCTTTTTTTTATTCAATTTTAATACAAAATCCATGTTCTATATGTTTTCCACTTGTCTTCAAGACCATGCCTTCAATTAATCAATCGATTTAACTTTTCCAAGACCCAATTTTTGTGCAGTGTTTTTCTTTATGTTGGAGAGATCTGCAGAGATTTATTTGCTGATAAAAGCTTGAATTCGAAAATAGAAAGAGGCCTCACAGCCACCTAACAAAACCAAAAGTAGAAACAAAATGAATGTGTCACGGTTTCTGATTGTTTCAGATAACACCCCATTGTCATCTAACATTTTATCCTTTTCCCATCTACCCAATTTAAAGCTGCATTCAAATTCATCAATGTTTGAAAGCAACAACTTCGTGTACGAAATCTAGGTGTCCTCATGCAATGCAAACAATAAACAAATATGCCAAACACTTACAATGGTGGTGGGGTCATTGGCACCTCCATTTAGATCGCTTTCAAACTCAGCATTTTAGAATTGTATTTACCTGCACCTTTTCAACTGTGTTAAATTTTCATTCATCTTATTATTTACCAGATCATTAACCTCTGTCATCAAATCTGATTGATGATGTTTGGTGGAGTGTCTGTTTGACTAATTCAAAACTTTGTCTAGGAGAAATTCAGACCATCAATTTAATGGTATGTTAAGAATATCTTGAATGAAAATATTACAGATAAAGTGAATTGGTAGAAGTGTATCTGTTTTTTTTAACTTTATGATATTAAGATCATTGAATATTAAAATGACTTTCACTTCTAATGTAAAATATTCTTCATGATCCATTTTTTTCAAGGTTTGAGTTTCCAATTCACTATGTCATGGGGACACCAAATCTTTGCAACCCTATTCGTTTAACGACCTTCTTGCCTGCCATATTATACAGGAAATAATATGAACACACGTTTTTGGTTGCCCATTCTGGGGACACGCCTGATTATAAAAATATAAAGGTTTAAAGCATATTTTCATGCTTATAAATTCTACTAATCTCAGTTTTTCTTTTCACAATATTCTTTTTATGAGGGTATTGCCACAATTAAAAATAAATAAAGTATAACTATTAAATTTATGTTACATAAATTAATAATACAATATATAGAAACACAAAACAGCCTTCCATTACTTATGTCAGGAACTGGGATTCTTGGTGCTGGGAAAAGCATAGTGTCACTGTTGAATTATTTTGCTCAGTAGGAGCAAAGGATAAAGGGTATTTTCAAAGAGAAATGCTTTAAAAAATTATTTATGAATAAAAATATTATTTAAACAAGAGTTTTGTATATAAAATTGTTTAAAATTGATAAAAATGATTTATATAAATAATATTTTATTCTTAAATAATTATTGCAATAATAATACACTGATAAAAAAATGTATGAAAGTTTTAAATCATCGTATTGAAACCTTTGTTAAAAGTTATTTTATCAGAAGACCAGCCGAAAAGCATTGAATGGGAAATAAGCAAGGTAGACAGATGGATTACTAGTATTATCATTAGTGCAATGCTTGATGGCACGTCTCATTGTCGTAAGTCTCTCTCATCAACATGCACAAAGATTGCAATTTACTGGTCTGGAAAAGCAACAAGTAGGCTCCATTATTTCACACACTCATTGATGTTTGGACTTCTTTTTCGAAACTACTGATGTTCTCAAAAAATTTACTAAAATCATTTAATATCTTTTCAACTATACCCTTATCTAACATAAACAGCATTAGTATTGTATCAATGGCATTGATTTCTACAGGATTAGTGGAGTGGAATATTTAGAACTATTCATAGTACTCAAATTCCAAAAAGGCACACCACCCCATCAAAGCACAGGAGTTGGAATGTCCTTTCAATCTGTATGTAATGCGATTGAGTTTAATCTGTACTGTATGAATTGACAGTATTAAACATTTGATGCTGTCTGACAGAAACACTTCTTAAGAAGATTGTTTTTATCTGTATATAAGAATTCATTATTAAATGATAGTTTAAGAAAAAATTTATACTATCAGTATTAAATAAAATTTATTTTTAACATGTCCATTAACCTTAAACATTAGTAGTAACAGGTAAGTGATATGAAGCAAAAAGAGTAGAATAAGACGCTGAAAACTATACAGATATTTAGTAGTATCCGGAAGTCTGTTAGTAGCAGATTACCCTTGTGCTGTACAAGCTCAGCTAGTTACTTAGCTAATAGCAACTGAACCTCAAACTCCCATGTTATATACTTAAATCCCAATATGGGCATAACGGGGTTGAGCTTCCCTCAAATGTTCAAGAAATATTATTCTTCAAAAATGGAAATTTAAAAACAAATAGGAGAAGAAATGAAGAAAACCATTAGAGAAGTGATATCTTCTAAGAAGTGAAAACAAATACAGGCCTCTGAGGGGTACTTTTCCTTGGGCGCTTTCTGAAATTCACAACTTCAACCCACCCATATGGCTCAGCTTCGGAGATAGATGACTCAGGTTCTGAATTATGGTTATCATTCATTGTAAAGTCAATGCCTTCAGATTTTGGAGTGATCATGCCTCTAGCATTTTGGTTTTGAGTCTCCGCTGGAAGCACTGCGATCTAACAAATTGCACATAACTGGAGTCAGCAAATGATAAACAATTAAACAACAAAATTTTAACATCACTTCAGAACATGGTTGTTACCTTGCATGTAATGGAGCAGAAGCGGTTACGCTCATCTTGCAAGTGTTTTCCACATTCTTCACACTTGCCACCTGACTTTGGTCTTATGCTGGGCTCTTTGGATTTAGACTCGGGGCTTAGATCAGCAGATTTAGATTTGTTGATTGAAGGGCGAGGTTTGAGGTGCACAATCCTTTCATTATTGGATATGTAAGTCTGTCAAATCGCATCACCATTGTAAGCAGAAAATTACATTCAGATAGAAATTATGTTCAGAGCTTTTTTATTAAAGGGATAGTTAGATTTAATGAGTCTGGTATAGCGATAAGCATTGAGGTTCAGTTATACTTTAACACGAAGTGAATAATAAACAGGTTATTTTGCAGATAACATCATTATAAAATCAATGATGGAGTGCTTCTTTCATTGGTTAACCCATTTGGATAACTAAGTCTTTGTAAATCCAACAAGTTATCACATCATTAATGCTTACATCCGCTAGAGAAGAGCTACATCATGTCATCATTCATTTGAAAAATTAAAATCTGCATATAATTTCCATCAGATCATTAAAGCTTGTCCTATCCTATCTGAGGCAAACAAGTCGAGCACAATATAACAAAAATGAGCAAGACTAATATGGAGAAATTGAATTGATCAAAGTCGGTAGAATATCAATCAATGAATCAACCCTTACAATCAATTAATATCTTGTAAAAAGAAGTGAGAACCTGAATTTTTGAGCAATCAAAATACTTCTGCAGCTCAGCATGACGGAAGACATCCTGATAGGAATATTTGTAAATCTGAAACCTTCTATGTAGGGAATGAGCTTCCTTACAGTGCCTACACATCCTAAGTGCACAGTCTACGCAGAACACATTCTTTTCATTAGATCGAAGATCATGGTGATAATCACAATAACCAAAGCTGCTGTTCATAAGAACTCCAACCCAATCTATACTCCTTTCCTTTGGTAAAAGATTCTGCCCCCCCTGAAAAATCCATTGCAAAATGAATTCAAGAACCCTTCAATTCAAAAGGAAAACACAGTTCAACAATCAAGGATCAAAATGTTAGACTTTCCTCAACAAGTCAGCAGCATATTTCTGTCCAAGAAATCCAACCCTACCACCACAAAATGGCATCCAAATCACAATATTCAAGATGCAATAACAAACTACCTAATCTAAAGACACAATTTGCAAATTTGATGCATACTGACACCAAATTTATGATTGAAAGATTACCCTGATGATCAAGTGAGCTATACTAAACGGAATCAGCAAGAGTAACACGCATCCAAAATGCAAAGAAAATAAGCTGCCTTCAATGATCATGAGACTAATTGCAAACAAATCACAACGAATCAAAGAGAAAAATCAAAACTTTATAAAAACCCATTAACAATCAAAGTCCAAAGAGCATGATTTGGTTACCATCTCGTTGGCTTCAGATTGGGTACACAGTAGCAGTTGCGGCTTGTGAGCAAGTGAAGAAACAGAGACCTGTCTCTCTTTCTCTCACTGTGAATGTGAAGGGATTGAAATAAAAAGGAAAAAGGGTATTCTGGCTTTTATAATTTTAAAAAGTTAAGATAATGCAATTCAAAAAAATAAATTAAAAGTAAAAATTGAAACAAAATCGTTCCTTTTTTTTTTTTTTTTTCTTCGGAGAAACGTTTCCGTACAATCGGCGGGAAGTGAGCGCGGTATGGTCGTTGGATTGGAATGTAATCGTACGCCCAGGATTTGTTCAGAGTGAATGTGACCTGGGACCCACAGAGTAGAAAGGAGTGGAAACCCCAAAAAAGTCGCTAGCTGCCCCCCACCCATTTCCCGCCAATTTAACCGAAATTCTCGGAATCCCTAATTTCCTTATTTATTTACATTAATTATTATTTATTTATTTATTTAAAGTTTTTGAAAAATAATTATGTGGTGGCCCAATGAATACGATATTATTAATATTATTATTATTTCTCACTCTGCGATGTTATCTGTAAGTGGTAGCTCCAAATGATAAAAGCGTTCACGGGAAACAAGTTTTGACATTCAATTCCGATAGTATGAACAGTATTTAGGAAGTGGTATTTATTTATTTTGTCTTTGATGTGTAATTTACGTAATTTAAAATTACTCTTTAGGTTAGGGACAGAGGTTTGGTGATATAAACTTTCCACATAAATCATAATTATAATTACAACGGTCAAACTCTTCTCTCACTGTTTCTACTGTTATAAATATATTTAATCAAATTTGTTAGGAAAAAATATCTATTATATCTTTATTATAGGTCTCCACTGGCTAATCATTTTTAAAAAATAATAAGTGAATTATTAATTTTAGTTTATTAATCTATTTTGTTTCATTTTATTTAATTTGTTAATTCAATAATTAAAAACGAAGGTGAATCCTAGTCTATTTTAAAAAAATTATATATTAAAATTTTTAAAATTTATAATTAAAAATATATTTTTTATTATATTATTATAATTTAAATTATAAATATTAATAAATTAAATTTAAATTATTTATTATAATTAATTATTTTAATATATATAAATATAATAATTTTTTAATTTATTTAATAAAAATATTAATTAATAATAAAAAATAAAATTTATTTAATATATTTAAAAAAATCATAAAATTGATGAACTAGTCAACCAATTAATTAGTTCGTCAACAAAATTAGATATATAATTCGTTGATAAATCAATTTATTTTATTTCATTTTTTAAAACTAATGACGGAGTGTGTCAAAATCGAGGATAAATTTGTTTTATCATATCTAATTTTTATCGGTATATTTTCTGGTATTTTTTAACAAAATTATAATTTATAAATACAAATTTTAAAAAATTATTTTAGTTTCATAAATAATTATATTAATTTTGATTCTTTTTAACTTTGATTTTTGTTTTTATTCTTGTTTTGTTATCATTGACTCTTATTAATAACGTATATGAGTAATGTAAGATTGAATGTGAAGACTTAACCCATCAAAAATAATTTACAATAATTTTTTTAATTTACATCAAATGAATTTCAGGGAACTAGACAATAATTTATTATTATGGAGGGAATAGAAGCAAGAAAAATAGTTTACATAAATAAAAAAATAAAATATGTTGATTTTGTAAAGGCTAAAATTTATAATTTTAAATTTTTGAGAGATAAAGTATAAAAAAAAATTAAAATATATTTAATCTGATTGTAAATATACATAGTCAAAACAGTTTTAATATGAGAAAAAATTATTTTACCTAGATAAATTATTATAAACAATAAATTTTTTTAATATTTTATATAATTATATTGTTTAAAATATAATTTTAATATAAAATGCTAAGCTAAATATTTTTTTATTTGTGTTTTTGATAGTTAGACTAATATTTATTAGGGGTATGGTGGAACAAACATCTTTATGAAAAAAAAATATAAATAAAAAATAAGATAAATTTGAAAGATTATATAAGATAATTTTTACTGAATAATTTATAGTTTACCTATTTTAATTTATAAAAAAATCTTAATTTCGTTCTTATTTAGTTTATTGTCTTAATTCTAAATATTTTCTTTAATGTGAATTAATATTTGTTATCAGACGCTTTTATTTTATATTTACTGAGTTGAATGTAAGTTTAAAATAAAATAAGTGATGAACCGTGAAGATAAAAACTTCATTATTTGAGGAAACAAAAAAATATATACAATTTATGCTAAATATTGGTTAACTCTTTCAATATGAAAAACGTAGTTACCTAAGTCGTACCTAGTTATTTATTTATTTTGTAATTTACGTAAGTTTTCAATTTAATGTTCGTTTAATTTGTTTTATTTCACTAATACTCGCTTAATTTATCCATAACACATTCTCCATTAAATATATTACCAGTTACATTATTTTATATATATATATATATATATATATATATATATATATATATTTTTTTTTTTTTTTTTTTACTTACCAAAAATCTCTTATTTGATGGTGATCTAACTCATGTTCGGAATGATGAATACCTCTGACCTTGTTCCTTGATATATCATGCGCATGAGTTCATAGTAAGTGTCTTTATAAAAACACTTAGACACTTAAATTAATAAAAAATAAACGATTAATTAGAAATTAATGAGTGTGACATACCTTAAAAATGTCATTATTTATATTATTTTTATGTGCTTTGGAAAAATTCGGTCTTTCTACTTTTTTTTGGTCATGTGGCCATAGTGTAGAGGCCACCTACATCGCTAGTGTAGAGGTTGTCCACGTGGCTACAGTGTCATGTGGGATCATTCATACACTTACAATACAATGTGCCCCCCAAGTTCGAGGTAGCTTCACAACAACGGAGAAGTTTACAAGTGGTGTTCTTTGGCGAAGACAAAGTTGCTCTTGTTGGATCTGGTTATCGTCTTTGGTTCTCTTTACCTACCAACCTCAAGGCTTTCGAATCATCTAGAAGAATGTTAGTCTCTTTAGGGCGCACAATTTTGGGACTCATTGGGTGAAATGTGACATGAGGTCATGTCAATTTTCTATCGTAAGATCAACAGAATTCAACGATTAGGGCGTGTGACACTTCGATTGACGTGTCATACTTGCTTATAAGTACATGGTGGGTCTTCTTGGGGACAACATTATTGTGAGCTACGAATTCCGATAGTGATTTTGTTGCGATTATTTCGATCGTCGTTGTTGTTTCCTCGAGTATTGGTATATGTTGTCCCTATCATCATCTGCAACCGAATAGCTTATGGACGGGTTCATGCGGACGACGCAAGAGGTAGCAAATTGTTATAGCAGGGATAGTGTGAACACCACTTGCTATGTGCCTTCAGCTTCTTGTAATTATAGTGGGGACGCCATGTCGGGTGTCGATTCGCAAAGGGGGTGCGACAAAGATGAGGGTGCCCAGGCTGTCGCGGAGTTGGCGAAGTTGGACCTTCTACTTAAGGAGGGTTATTCATGGGTTGACTCTCATGTAAAGGGGTATTTTTTTGAAGTATTGCTAGTCATTGATTTTATTGCGAGTCATGGTTGAGGGAAATGGCAACGAGGATGTGATTTCTCTTGGGAGGTGTTGCGTCAAAGACAAAGTTTGTCATGGACATGAGTGGTGGTATGAGGACTTCTTCTACGTGTATGTTTGCCTTGTGAAGGATTTACATGTTCAATTCCCTATGGATGAGTTTATAATCAGAGTATTGCAGGTTTTGAATGTGGTTCCTATCCAGCTTCACCCTACAGTTGGGCCACACTCCAAGCTTTTAGGTTGGTGTGCGACGTTTTGTACTTAATACCAACTCCTCCTGGTTTTTCTTCATCATTTTAGTAATCGGTTTGGTGATCAAGTTGGTTAGTTGTCGCTCATGAGCTAGCCTTCCAACATATTGTTCGCCACATACACTTCATCATTCAAAAAGTTCAAGACCAGCTTCTTTAAGGTGCAAGTTGAAGAGGACAGAAGAAAATATTTTTATGATGGGGATAAAGACAAGTTTCCCTTTTAATGTAGCCTGGATTTGATCTGCTACCATCATTGGCCGAGAAGTGACATGAGTCTGTCTAATATTCGGATGTTGGATGTTTTAGACAAACTATCTCACGGTCTCCCCACCCAAAAGCTTCTCGGGCTCAGGCAAAGTGATATTTTTTATATAACTTTGCTCTGCATTCACCGCGTTTTGCTCTTATTGTTAACTATGTTGAATTACTAACTTTATTGCAGATATCATGGTGACACTAAGAACCCCTTGATTTCCTGGAATGCGGACTCGCATTACTCACACCATTTGATGTTGAGAATTCAAGTGTGAGTTTGAAGTCCCACATTGGGTAGAAATGAGAAAGTTGAGTAACTTATAAGTGAGAAAGACTCATAACCTATTGCCTTAAGGTTTTGGGTTGAAGGTGATGTCATATTCTCTTATATGGTTGGCTCATGACCCATTTGTGAGAAACTTTCTACTGTTAGCCCTCTCGGAAATACCAAACATTTGAAACCTTGTGACTTTTTCATTAACGAGATGATGGGTTTTGTTTTTGTTTTTTGCCAAATTGGGTATAAACTAGGAGAGAGTCGTAAGTCATTCCACCACTCGTTTCACCTCCTTCAAATTTTTTAGGCTTCTCATCTGGA